TGTCTTGGACTGTACTCGACACTACCTGACGAAAATCTGGACAGTGGGGATCCCGTAGCGTAGCGTAGAGTAGAGTAGGGTAGCGTTGCATAGCATCAGGCAGATGTGCACGGGGGTAATACAATCTTATGGAAAATTGAACTTTGGATTTGCGACGGGTGGCTCCTATGTTTACACTGCTGACATGACTACACAACTTAGCACGAATGACACCACAATTTTCTCTTGTACCAGTATTTTAAGCACCAACAACCAAATAATCTGGTTATAGCAATCCTTAGTGATTCAAAGATACCAGAAATCCCACGAGAAAATATGTAAATCATGGAAATAACCTGAAAACCCAAGTTTTATTATATAACCTGAAAACCCAAGGTTATTATTGGACGTTGTTAGAAAGCGGGTTAGGAAAGGGTCAAACTCCTTTTTTAGTACTTGTTTTAAAGCATTTTTATCGTGCAACCTCCAAAATCGAAGAACACGTTCAGCTGGTTCTAATAGGTAGGAAAGGACTGAGTGAAGAAAAATATTCTCATCGTACATATTGCAACAGTCTTACCGTATACTGTTCATCAATAATAAGGAGCTACCCCTCAATTCAGAAATTTAAGAATCACGAGACAACTGCTTAACAGTAGACTAGAATAATAGTCAAACATATGGGACCGAAGTCTGTTTTGACTGTCAAAACTCAACTAACTGTACAACAGCATAATGCGACCAGTTTGGAGTGGAACTGTTAGGTTCACCCAAGCTATCAAACATCCAGCACATTCAATACTTTTACACAAAATCTTCAGAAAAGTTATCAAAGTTTCTTACTACGTCACTAACCTCACTCTCCACAATGACCTCAACATTACATTCGTCAAGGAGCTGATCCAATCCCGTTTCCAGAAGTTCCACACCAAGCTCACATCTATCTCATCCCTGCAAGCCGTATTTATACTTTCCCATCCGTTACGTCTCCTTAAACGACGATGACCATGAGACCCTTCTTACTCGTGCATCATATTTTTCTTTTAACTGTGTCCTCCGAGTGCAGTGCTGGCCATAGTGTCAGTCTTGTAATGATGTAACGATCCTCGATACAAAGAGGAAGTCAAAACCCCCTTCAACCGGATGTAACCCGGAGACGGACAGCAGGTGCGCTGGTGCCGTGAAACAGTCCGAAACATGATACTGTCCGTAAACCGAGTTTATGAGATATGGAGAATTAAAACATAAAGCAGGTTAAGAAATACTTTTAACTTAGCTATTATTGTTTGTTTAATCGGAGGAGAAATTATTAATCTTTAAATTTCGATTATAATTTATTTGTAACCGAGGTATTTGTAATTTTTTTTTTCCTTAATCTACTCTTTACATCCACCTCCACTATCTGGAAACCCGAGGAGAGAAGGTGACAACACTATGCACTGCAAGTACAAACTTTATTTTTTCAAGGTACATTAATCTCCTTATTTTGACTTTTAACACTTTTATCTAGTGAGATCGACATAAGATTCTAGAATTTTTCTCCATTTTCTATGGTTGCTTTGAACATAAGGTTGACATGAAATTATTACATACGAGGTGCGTTTATTCTCAGGGATTGGCTTAGGCAATAGGATTTATAAGCGTTGGATCTGGTTTTTAAAAAATTACATTCTTTAACAACCGGGATGTCTGATATGTCATAAAACCAGACATTTATCCACATTTTTAACAAAAACTATTACAGCATGGAAATACGAATTGAATCTACCCGATAGTTTGGTTAATGCATTCTCCGAATATTTTTTATTCCGTCAAATGATCGAGTAATAATCGGTTAACGTGTGTGGTCCGATGACGTGACCTGTACGAGGGAAATGAAAGTTTGATCCAGCTCCATACACGCTCACTTGGCGGTTCTCATTCTTCGGGAGAATCCATCGAGAACAAAAGAATTCTTGGTAAATAATAGAATGAAGTTTGGCAATCAAATTAAAATTTATGCTTATGGAAATTCGCGAGTCTCCATAAAAATTCAGTAGCAATTTCTTAAGTATCTAGTAGCTTATCAGACAAAGTAATTAAAACTTTTAGGAACCGCAGGAAAGAATTCAAAGATTATTTAAGCAACCATGTCGATTGTTAGCAAGTCGAAAAATTATTTTAAGAACTTTGCTGCAAATTTAGTAAGTAAATATAGCCAAAAACTAGCTTTTCTGTTTGTAGTTATACATTCGTAATTTTACATCATTTAATGCCTCTTTTTATTTTAATTAAATTTCTTTTATTATGTACGAACTATTTATATTATATCGAATGGCTTTTATAAAAACATCTGTAGCTTCTTTTTTAATCTATTTCAGTTCCAAACGGTGAGAAAGAGAGAGGAGCAAGAGAAAGAATGAGTGAGAAATGAGAGATTGATCAAAAGGACAAAACACAGTGAGAGTCATAATTAAAAAGAATAATTAGATGAGATAGAGAAAGAGGGAGAGTAGTAACAGGAAGTAAGTGTGAAAAATAAGAGAATGTTTGAGAGGACGAACCACAGTGTAAGTGATAATGAAAAATAATAAATAGGTAATTATAGAAAGAGAGAGAGTGAGAGAGAATGAATAAGTAATACGACAATAAAACCGGGAACACACCCGATGCAACGCTATGCGACGCTGCCCTATGCTACCCGACGCCTTGTCACGTTCAAGGTAGGGGGTGCACATCTATGCGACGTCAAGCACACGCCACGTAAAGTCACACAGCGTGTATCACAAATCACTGTCGCAATCGCAACGCCTATAATAATAAAAGGAAAAAAGACAATTTAGATATCCGTCTGCCAGAGGTCGTTGATTAAACAATCAGAAACGAAAAAATACACAATCAAATAAAATAAAAGTGATAGCCTACGCAATAAAAAGGAAAAAAAGGAGAAACAACAACTGCCAAAATGCGAAAGAGAACAGAAAAACAGGTTATACAATAGAAATCAAAAATGAAACTCATTAATTAATTCATATCTGTAGTTCCATGCACGCCTAGCGTAACAAATTAAGGGCCGCGCAAAACCATGAAATAAATTGTTAGTTAAATTTAATTGTTTTAAATAAAGTTATGGTGTTGTGGTAAATTTTCTGCCTAACCATCATAAATAAATAATTTTATAAAAGCTCATGAATTTTTGATCTCGTTTAATTTGATTTATATTAAAATAAGAATGTTTTAATTAATCTATCGACGAAATTACATATACATAGTTTGAAATAAATTTCAAAAAAATATGAGTGTCCTGTTCTGACGCTATTCAACGAAAAAGGCTGTAATTTTATGAGCAAAACCATGAAATAAATTGTTAGTTAAATTTTATGAGCAAAACCAAGAAATAAATTCTTAGTTAAATTTTATGAGCAAAACCATGAAATAAATTGTTAGTTAAATTTTATGAGCAAAATCGCGTAATAAATTGTTAATAAAATTCATTAGATCAAAATTGGTATTCCAGTGTTTTGATCAATTTTCTACCAAACCATTATTTTTATTTATTTTATTTTCACCATTTTATTTTTAATTGTTTATTTTTTATTTAAAACTAATGAATTTTTGATCTCGGTTAATTTGGTTTATATTGAAATAAGACTGTTGTAATTAATATAACGACAATAATACATGTTGTTTGAATAAAAATATGAGTATCCGGTTCTTTTGTCTTCGACTGTACCCGATGCTACCCGACGAAAATCTGGACAGTGGGGATCGCGTAGCGTGGAGTAGGATAGCGTTGCGTGGCATCGGGCAGATGTGCAGGGGGGTAATACAATCTTATGAAAAATTAGACTTTGGATTTGCGTCGGGTAGCATCGGGTAAGTGTGTTCCCGGGTTAAGGTAATTATCGAGAAAAACAGCACGGTAATAATGAGAAAGAACAATAAGGTGACAGATAGAAGGTATAGATATTTATATTTAACATCACTATAAGTGGATAGATACATAAATGATATATCGAAATGGAGAGAGAGAGAGAGAGAGAGAGAGAGAGAGAGAGAGAGAGAGAGAATGAGATAGAGAATGGCTTTTTAAAAAGACAATTCTATCGCCTTTTAAACTACTTTAGCTGTTTATAAATAAACTTAAGCTAAAGTAAAGTGTCGTTTTGAAGAAAAGGTGTCATCATTACTTTTTGCACAACTTAAACAATCATAAAGTATAATGTTTTGTTTCTATGTTTTAGAAGGTATACGTAATAACTGTCTAGGGGAACCTCTTAGAGCAAAATGAAATAAAGGCTGACCGAAGAAAAAGCCAGTATAAAATCCTAAAAAGGATCAAAATAATTGGCACATCGTTTGACAAAATAGACAAAAAAATACGACATACCTTTTCAATTTAAAAAAAAACAAGAGATATCATAATTAATACAAACCCTGCAACTAATAGAGGGGTTCTTTTTTTGGTTCACAGATGGATCTAAAATAAAATATGATAATTTGGGGGCCGGAGTTCAAAGCATAAAATTTGATCTAGCGAAAACTCTTAAGCCCCACGCAAACTTTTTCCACGGTCAGATCTATGCAATAGACCTTAATGTTCAAGAAATACATAAAAAGCAAGGGTGCAAAGACACACATCCATTCTCAATTCAAACCTGGTCTGGTAACTACTAACATATCTTCAAATTTTTGGAAAACACAGCAGGTAGCCCACGGGGTCAGTGGGTATCAAGACATAAGAGGACTGAAGTCAACGAACCAGTCCCAGAGCATATCCCTATAAAGAAGGCGGGCGCGCTTTATCTTCGGGTTTTTTTAAATTAACTCCTTTGTAAGTTTTTATTAATATTTATTTCGGGGTTTCTTCCTACCATTCTTGTTGTGTTCAAACTATCTGAAGACGAAAAGGAAGAAATTTAAAAAAAATGAAACAAATAATCTACTAGGTAGACGTCTTCGATATCAGAAAAAAATTTCTTTACTATCATCTGGATTACATGACTATTTTATGAATATATTTATTCATTGTTAAAAAAAATTAAATATGTTTGTTTTATGTTCAATATATTTCATTTTTATTTTATTTGTGCAGTCGAATACGGCCCAAGAGTCGGAGTACGATTACATAGTCGCCGTCCGTTCTTATAGGACAAAACAGTTCCTTTTCTCCGGTATTATCGTCAGCCGGCGTATCGTCCTTACGACATGCTCCTCGGTAGCCAATTTCACCATTGATGGATTACCGTACGTAGTGGTGGACGTGAAGGACTTGACTGTCAACTTGGGAATCGGCCTGATATTCGGCGGTCCTCTGAAGATGGTCCTGGTCGAGAGTGTAGGCTTCCACCGGGAATGCAAAAATTGGCACGGCATGTTGAGCCACGATCTCGGGGTTATAAACCTCGCCGAGAACATCACAATCGACTCAGAATCCGCGATGAGATTCACCGGAAGACTCGAAAAGACCGTGACGGACTTAAGGTCTTTGGCATCCTCCGGCGCCACGTTCGACGTCCACGGCTGGTCGGTCAAATTCAATACGCTGCCTACTTTTGAAAAAGCCAATTTTAAACTGTACGACATGGACGCATGCGTGAAATACTTTTGCTATCCCGTCCATGAGAAATGTTACTCGACAGACAAATTGTGCGGCATCGGCCCTTCTGAGATCTGCGGGAACGGCGTCGGATCAGCGGTCATCTCCGATGGCGTTCTTTGGGGCATCACTTCACGTGTCTTTAATCCATGTTCACAAGCTACCATCAGCATCGTCACATTTTTCAATAGCGCTGAAATTGATGAAATGATAAACAACGCGATAAAGAGCTTTCACACCACACCATTTGAAACAATTGTAATTATTACCATTTCACTTTGTATAAATAAACTTTATTGATTTGATGTTTTCTAACATGTGTTTTAACCTTGTCAAGGTGTGATCCATTCTTAGATGCATATCTATATAATGAAGTGCCAAGGATGGGGGACAAGGATAGAAGAGGTAACCTACAGCTTTCATGAGACTTGCTTTAGGCTGTTAAGTTCCATAGCTTTCCTAGTGGATGTTTCACGTAGGATATATGCGGTTCATCACTAGTAGCAAAAATCTACCCCTGATGTCACGGAACGAGGACTTTTCCTCTTCTTGACAAAACCTTCCCAATGGTTCTTCTGCCGGTACTTCTATGCTGTCCAGTGGCTTCTCAGGTTACAGTGTCCAGTCAGTAGATTTATCAGAACACGATTGGCCGTCCAGTAATTCTCCTATGACTATATGAATCACTTCGCGTTTCTCATCTTCCAGGATTTGGACGCATTAAGGATCCATTTTTTAATGTCACCCTTTTTGTTAGAAATGGCTAGGTCACAGAGCATATGATTTGGAATCAGAAGTATTTATGCCGATTACACTCTTGGTCAGTACATCGGCTTTGAAAAAGATATAGTTATAACTTATAATATTAGACTTAGCATCCTTGTGCACCTCTAAATGAAATTAACACTTATATGTTTGGGGGGGGGGGGCGTCGGTGGCCGCAACGGTTTAAGAGTTGACATGACGCTCATCACTGTAAGGTTAAGGTCCCGGGTTTGAATCCTGCGCCCCGGCATTCGAACCCGACATACTTACACATGGGGCTTCTTTTTTTTTTTTAAAACCACCGGCACCCTGAGGGTTTATATGACCTCTGCTGTTGCGTACCCTCGTAAAAAATGTAACTGTTGAAAATTGAAACTAAAATAATATTATTTGAGAATATTAGCAATGAAATTTCCCCAATGACGAATATTTTTTAGTAGTTGTAAATTTATTTTTTCTTAGCAGTACTAGTAAATGGGAAAACATCTGTCTGAATGGCAGCGTTAAGGACATAAGCATGTTGAGATAAGAAGTTGGTCCTTTCCTCAGAATTCCCAAAACGTCAAATGTATCTTCTAACAGAAACTCGTTCTATTTGATGAAATGATGTTGACTGGAGAATATCTATTTTGTAGAAGAGCATCAAGGACATAAACAGGTTGAGGCAAGTAGACGATCCCTCCCTTGGAAATATCAAAACATATCCTACCAGTTCACAAAATTTATTTATATTTTAAACTGTGGTATTGATTGTAAAAGTTTTGTTAGTGGGGCGTGAGGGCTATAAACAGGTTGAGCCAAGCGCTCATTCTCTCCGGTGAATGTTATAAACATCAAATGTTTCCTAACAGTCAGAGCGATTAAACATGGAGAATAATTTACGATTAATTAAGGTTTTTAGTTGAGATGAAAAAAAGTTAATGGCACGAGCGGGATTCGAACCCACGATCTTCGGCTAGATACGCCGCTGCTCTACCTCTTGAGCTATCGTGACCTCGATCCACTCGGACATCAACTTCCTATCTCAATTGAATTTACTTACAACTTCCTGAAAAACCCCTGAAAGAAAAATATATCATCAGATCCAAAACTGCCAGTTTGTTAGATCAACCTAGACGTTAACTTGTTTTAATAAATAATCATTGAACGAGAAATGCTTGCTACGTGAAGTAACCTCAGGGTTATAAACAGGCTGAGATAAAAAGCAGATTCCTTCTTAAGGATTTTCCCAATGTCGAATTTATCTATACACAAAGGTTATTTCTTGTAAAAGCAGTGGTTTTAACTGGCAAGTGTCTGTTTGGTAGGGTCAGGCTATAAACAGGTAAAACATATCCTACATGCTTTAGTGCTTTATCATTTTTTAACGAACAAACATTGATTTTCAAACTTCGTGAGCAACGTCTGGTTATAAGTAGGTTGAGATAAGACTAATTTACTAAACGACAAATATATTGCGGTTTTCAGCTCTTTGTACTTTATTTTAGTAGTAACGAATGGAAAATACTTGTCTGATACAGGGACTTAAAGCGATATAAGCAACTTGAGATAAGAAGCTGGTTTCTTCGTGAGAATTATCTCAGCGTCGGATTTATTTTTTCAATTCTTATCGCTTACTTTTATTTAAGTAGTGTTATTGACTGAAAAATGCCTGTGTAAGAGAATAACATCTGGGTTATAAGTAGGTTGAGATAAGACGAATTTTTTAGACAAATATATTGCGATTTTCAGATTTTTCTACTATATTTTAGTAGTAACGAATGGAAAATACTTGTCTGATGGAGGGACTTAAAGTGATATAAGCAACTTGAGCTAAGAAGCCGGCTTCTTTGTGAAAATTATCTCAACGTCTAATTTTTTTTTCAATTCTCATAGTTTACTTTCATTTTAAGCAGTGTTATTGACTGAAAAATTGCCTGAGTAAGAGAATAATGTTTGGGGTATAAGTAGGCTGAGATAAGTAACTGGGTTCTTTTTTTCAATCCTCAAGTATACTTTTATTGTAAGCAGTGGTATTGACTGAAAAATTGCCTGAGTAAGAGAATGACGTCTGGGTTATAAGTAGGTTGAGATAAGTAGCTGGGTTCTTTTTTTCAATCCTCAAGTATGCTTTTATTGTAAGCAGTGGTATTGACTGAAAAATTGCCTGAGTAAGAGAATGACGTCTGGGTTATAAGTAGGTTGAGATAAGTAGCTGGTTTCTTATTTTTCAATCCTCAAGTATACTTTTATTGTAAGCAGTGGTATTGACTGAAAAATTGCCTGAGTAAGAGAATGACGTCTGGGTTATAAGTAGGTTGAGATAAGAAACTGATTTCTTATTGCGAAGTTCCAAACGAATAAATATTTACTCGCAGTTTACAGAACGTTCTCCTTTGCTATGAAATGGTAACAACTGGAAAATATCTTCTTTTTTTATTTTTCTAATATGTACTTTTTTTGTGGTGGCAATTTACAGTTTCAGGTGAACCGTTGGACCGAGTATTTTTCGATCAATTTCGTTTCAGAGCGATTAACGGATTTTTACTCGCACAAAATAAACTTAATTTTGACATATGTCAATATTATTAGCTTTTATTGCGGTGTTTAATCTTTAATTGCGATCAATTATCTGTTTTGAAAGACATTTAGTGTTATTAATTTCGGAAAGAAACTGTTAATTTAATTAAGATAATTTGTTTCCGAGTTGTGACAAAAGTTGCTCCCTGTTTTAAAAGGCGTACGACAACCGGGCGGCCGACGGTCAATTGAGTCAATTTTCACGAATTCTCCAGCACTGGTCAGTCGCTAGGCTTCAACACGTCTTGATTTACTGAACAACAGATGGCCGTTGGATAAGCGAGCATACGAGAAACAAACATCGAGTAACTTGTAATTAACCGGCGATGGTTTGCGAATTCTATTCGGCCGTTATCTAACAACCTGCCCATTGGCTAGGACTTTTCATGCAAGATTGAAACAGTGGTTATTTAGCAATTCAATGCCGTCGTTACATCAAAATCAAGTGAATTTTAATAGGCGTATCTTTTCAAAAACATTAATTAGTGTCAAGTTGCGGGCCAGTGTTTAGTTTGAAAAAGTTTAATACAGGATAAAAAATTGCAATTTGATTTAAAATTGTGTCACCGTCTAAGCCTGGAGAAATGATAACCTTCAATTAGATTCATAACTAATCGGCACACCCGCTTAACTGCGTTAATTGTCAATCATTAATCTGTTCATAAATAAGAATTAAGAACGTTTAGAAGCTTTTTATTTTATATGCAAATTTGGACTTAGCTTTGACAGACGGGAAATGAAAACCCGAAGAAAATACCTAGTTAACATGATAATCAAATTTTACCAGCAAAAGAAAAACTTTCTAGGAGAGAGCATCTGAAGAATTTTAAATCTAGTTAAAAGTAATTAACATGTACGAAAGAGAACATCGTTTGAAGTCACAAGACCGATGACTATTTCAATCCAAGTTTTAACCAAGTAAGAAGTTCGGCCAAACGGCCTTTTAGTTGGTGATTGGCCTAAGCTTAATTCTAATCACAATTTCTGTCTTAATCGCACGTCTTCGATGTGGATAATGTGATATTTGACGCTCTGACTAAATTATTCCCTTCGTGCATTAAACTCCTGAATAAACATGCACTATAGTTATGGAACATTTAACTCACATAAGCAAGCTTCCTTATATGTTGGACGCAAGTGAAGATTAAAAGTGTTGTTTTTTTTAAATACAAACATTAAAAAAATTGTCCCATACAGTAGACTTTTCAAGATCATATCAAAAGTAGACCAGAACAAGATCTACATAGAGAAATTTTGAGAACATTCAAGACTACTGACTTTAAAATTAGAGTAATTTAAAATACAACTACAAATAACCATTATTGATTATTTTATTACTTTTAAAAATTCAAAACAAATAAACAAAAACTAAAGCTAACACACCCCTTACTATAACACTAACCATACGTAATCTAAACGAACGCTACCTTAACCTTAACCCTACTTTACCTAACCTAACCAACTCAAGCAACCATGTTCATTTTGTTGGCCTAAGGGCTTGTTTTAATTTTTCACAACCTAGTTTTTCAGTATTAATTTTTTTGGCTATACTCATTTTTATATTAAAACTAGCGTAATAAAATTTCTTTATAACTTACTTCTGTAAACCGGGATTTAGGAACACTGGATGGTGCCGCATTCTTTAGAGTTACCGCTTCAATAAGTAAAGAAAGAGAGAGAGGGAGAGAGAGATAGAGAAACAGAGAGAGAATAAAAATAAGTAAGGAATATGACATTGATTGAGAAAACAACCCACAGTTGTACTGAGAAAAAACAAGTGCGTTATAGAGAGAAAGAAAGAGAGAAATACTTACACGTAAAGAGAGTGAGAGCAAAAGATAAAAAGAAAGGGGAGAGAGACATAGAGAAAGAGAGAGAGAGTAAGAGAAACAGAGAGAGAATAAAAATTAATAACATTGCTTGTGAATACAACCCACAGTAGCATTGAGAAATGACAAGTCAGTTTTAGAGAGAACGAAAGAGAGAAATCGAAATAAAGAGAGTGAGAGAAAGAGTGAGAGTTTTCCTTTTTCTCGACGATCTCCCTGATTGTTTTGAATACGGTACACGCTATGGAAATATTGAAATAAAAATTCTTTTGTACGCGGACGATATTGTGATTCTGTCAGACTCACCGGTTACCCTGCAAGAAAATATTAATGCCTTAGAGACTTACTGTAATAAATGGAATCTTTCGGTCAACCTAAACAAATCCAAAATTATGGTTTTTCGTAGGGGAGGCAGACTTGCGGCTAATGAACGCTGGTATTTTGAGGGCTCTCGCATTGAAACAGTGAGTGAGTATAAATATTTGGGCCTATTTCTCACTCCTAAACTTTCACTCAATGTTCATCTCAAGCGAAAAACTCATATTGCAAAATATGTAATGAATTCAATTTGGGCTAAATTCACTTCCAATAATCTTATCCCGGTGTGCAGCAAATACAAGCTGTTTTTGGCTGTTTGCTGCTCGATTGTGTCCTACGCTTCCCAGGCTTGGGGTTTCCAGCGCTATGAAACAATTGAATCCC